TATAACACCCAGTGCTCCATGCAGAACGTGCCCTCTTTAATACCCATCACCAGGCTAACCCATCCTCCCACCCCCTCCCCTCTAGAACCCTCAGTTTGTTTTTCAGAGTCCATAGTCTCTCATGGTTCGTCTTCCCTTCTGATTTCCCCCTCTTCATTCTTTCCCTCCTGCTATCTTCTTCTTCTTCTTTTTTTTTTTTAACATATAATGTATTATTTGCTTCAGAGGTACAGATCTTGTGAGACTACATTTTAATTTAATGTAGCCATACTCTTTGGAGATTTTCTTGTGCAAAAATACCCATTTATCATCTATACTCCCATTTTCAGTTTCTCTTAAGTGGAGCAAAGTGCTTTTTTTAAAAGTTGAGCAGAAATTTCCATCAGAATCCATCTAGATTTTAATTCCTTCCCCAATCTTTTTACAGTTATTTATCTACACCAAATTCAGCTTTACGTAAACTCCCCAAAACATTCAAATTTGTTTTTATGGTAATAACTCCCTTTTCCATTTATAGTTTATCAGTTTATATAATGATTAAGTTATCAATTTAATAATAAGTACAACTCTTTATAAACAAACCTGGAAACAAACTCAACAACTCAACCCATAGGAACACAAATGTGCTGGCTTACTAAAAGTGTAGCTTACTAGATGTAAAATTTAACATGCCATCGACATCAGTATGAATGTTTTACAGTAGGAATGATGAATATAATTCAGGCCATCAGGGTAGTTAAATGGAGGTCAGTTAAGGGATATCCTATATCAACAAATCTCTTTTGAGATGTAGATTTCCCAGTGGAAATCCAAATTCAACATATAAAAAGTAAACTATTTTCCCTGTTAAATTCAGTCCTAATTTTTTTTTTAATTTCTCTGCCACTATCGTCCACCCACAACTACCCCTGAAATAACCCATGAATTATCTTTGACTTCTCATGTTCCTTCATTTTTTTCCTCTTAAAAATATCCTCAATCTCTCTCTATCTTTGCTACCCTACTCTTAATTCAAATCCTCATTATCCTTTGCTTACACTACTACAGAAGGCTCCTGACTAGTATAACAGCCGCTGGTCCCATTGCCTTCAATTCATTCTACACCCACTCACCAGATGACTTAACTGGAGTGAAAATCTGACCTTGTAATTCTTTCAATTAAAACCTTTCAATGACCTTCATAGCTTATATGCATTGAGTCTTACAATATGCCAGACACAGTGCCAAACATTTTATGACAAATTAACTTACTCATTCATGTAACAATACCTATTGAACACCTAACACCTAGCAGTTTCTGTTTTGGCCTTAGGAATACAGCCATAAATAAAACAAATTAATGTAAATTTTGTGGAGCCAGGATTTTTGTCTTCTTCTTTCACTGCTCTATTCCCAACTCCAGACAGTCCAATGTCAAAGTCTAAACCGTTAGCTCCAACCAATCTCTTTCAACTCATCTTTCCAACTCCCTATATGGCATTTTTCCCTCAAGCAAAATTTAAAAGCTTTAGTTTACCAGACACTGTGCTCTTCATTGCTCCTTTTCCCAGGATTCTTTGTCTTTCTCCAATGATAGAAAATAGCATAATACCATAAACAATGGTTTTAAATGTATATCAATCATGTGTTATCAGCCATTCCTAGAGAAACATGGAGTTAGAAATAGAATGAATCCAAAAGACTTGAGAGAACATTTTTCCTAAGATAAACTTTACGGTTCAAAGAATGATAGTGCCCCTGGCAGATAATGGAGCTATCCATTAAAATCCAAGAATTATAAATTTAAAAAGGACAAGATATAGTGAATAGCTTTCATCTAGGTTCTACTTCATAATTTAAGTATTTTATGCTTTATGCTTTTTTCCTGAGTTTGGATTACCAGTGTCTAAATTTTGTCTTGACTTACAGATAAAGGGAAGATCAAACTAAATACATTGATGGAAGAATTGAGTACTGCTTTAGGTAAGTGAAAAATAACTTAATTCTTTATACAGTTTTAATGATACATTCTACCATCCCTTTAGTCCCTTGTTAATTTCACCATTTTAACTCTTCATTAATTAAACATTTTCATTAATTAACATTAATTAAACATTTCTGCCTGCTTTGATAACCTATGATTTACTAGGTCTTTGCAATAAGACAAAAAATTTCAAAATTTAGATTATAACTGAGATACTATATATAGACATAATTACTTGAATAAGTCATCAACAATATAATTTCTTGGGCAATTATATTAACCTTATTATATGTAATATTTTCCTCTAACATTATGAAGACATGCCTTTTATTATAAATAAGGGACAATGTTATATTTTTAAGTCTGATATTAACTCTGTATAATATAGCAGGTGACCTTAGGTCTTTGTTGTTCATCTAGCAATAGAAGATGGTACTGTACAAACACATTTTGTTTTGTTTTTCATAATTTATATTCATTTGATAATGTTCTATTATAGCCATGGCAACAGCCTTTTCTTAATAATGTGGGAATGTTTTTATTCCTAATTCCACCTTTTGATCCTCACTCAACCAAAAGCACAGGAGAGATCATCAAGAACTGTCCAGACCTTCACTACTGTAGATTTTTCTTGAGGAGCTGACATCTGAATGTCAAGATAATTTCATCCTGGTTTTGTCTTTGAATCATTTGTTTAATTATTTGTTCATACAGTGGCTACACAGAAGCATTTAAGACTCTGAAAAGCAGACTTCAAACAGCTGTGCGACAAACAAAACTAGCTGAAGGTATTATAAGAAGGAAAGGGAAGCACTCTAGAATCATGGTCCAATATTTCTCAGGCCTGAAAGAAAACTAGTCCCAATAATAATTATGCCTTAAGTCTACTTTACATACCCAAGTTGTCTTTTCTTTTCTTAGATAAATTAGATCTGTAGTGTGAATCCAAGTACAATATGCATTATTAACAATGGTGCATATCCCCCTATAGTTGGGCAAAAGAAAATTCAAAGCAATTCTATCATTTATCTAGGAAATTTTAACTGGTTTAGTGTACTGAATGATAGGGCATGAACTATATTATATGCTAAGTCAGTCACAATTTTTTTTATTACTATGGATCGAATACATTATACTTAGGAATCTCTTCCACCAGATATTATTTATTTCCCCAGAAAAGTTTCTATCCCCTTGGACTAAGAAGACAAGATCCACTGAGACCACTGGAAAGTCATGCACAATTCATACACATAAATTTTCAGTTAGCCCTACAGTAATTCTTTAAGTTGGTTTGCTAGTAAAAGGCTGAGTTACAGAGTTAGGACTGTCCTAACTCTAGCAAAGTGGTTGTCTCTAGTAAAACTTAAACCTCAATAAGTTATTGGTAGAAGCAAGGGAGATCATGATAGGCTAAGTCAGAAGTGTATAATACTAAATAATAAAAAGAAAAGATATGACAAAAATAATGAATAAAAATATGTGAAAAATACACAAAGCACTGACAACATCAGTGTTTTCTTATTCTCATGGTCTTGGATGGAAGCTCTGTACTTCATGCAGTTTTCCACTTGATCTGAGGATCTTGGATCTTGGGTCAGCAGGTGACTTATACGAACCACCTGCTTCTTGGATACTCTAGAGAACCTCAATTTAAGTCTCTAATATAATTTTGCAATTCTGATAATGTCTCTTCCATTTTTCCAGAAGTTTTGGTGTTCAAAACACAGTGAAGTTTCTAAATAATAGGCAAAACCTCTTGTATAATCATGAATAATTACCAAAATAAAGCATATTGCCCTATAATTGAATATATAAGATGGAATGCTCTAAGTAGGTAGCAGGATATCCAGAAGTTTGCTGGCTAGTATGAGTGCTATGGATTTCTGATGAGAGAGTGTTTCAACCCATCCAGAAAATAAACATAATATTATTAGTACATATTCATAACTCAGAGAGAAGCAAATATATAAAATCCATTTGGATATGCTCAAAGAGTTCCTTAAGATGTGGTTCTAATCCAGGGCTCAAAATTACAGATTTTCCATATTTATTTTTATTTCAGATGAGGCATGAATTGGTGATATCCTCTAATATAATACAAAATATCCTAATCAGTGTTTAATAATGTGGAGGATTTGTTCTTATAGTGATGGGTTGTTTTATGTAAGATTTTGGCAAATGTCAATTTGAAATATTATCTGATGCAACTAGGTAGCAGTCCTGGCTTTGCCAAATCTTATCCTCATGGATATTATAACCTAACCATTCCAATTATTTCTTTACAAAATTGAGGTCAAATTTTGTGCTTCTATAATGGAATCTTTGAATCTGATCCTACACATGTTTTTTGTTTGTTTTTTTGTTTGGGTTTTTTTTTTTTTAAGATTTTACTTATTTGTCAGAGAGAGAGAGGAAGAAAGCACAAACAGGGAGAGTGGCAGGCAGAGGGAGAAGCAGGCTCCCCGCTGACCAAGGAGCCCGATGAGGGACTTGATCCCAGGACCCTGGGATCATGACCCGAGCCGAAGGAAGATGCTTAACTGACTGAGCCACCCAGGTGTCCCTCTACACTTGTTTTTCTTATCTATAAGAGGTCCTTCAAAAAGAACTTTAATTTTTAAAAAAATGAAAAGATGAACCACAAACTGACAGGAAATATTTGCAAAACACATATCTGATAAGGGACTTATATCCAAAATATTCAAAGAATGCTTAAAACTCAACAGTAAGGAAACAACCTAATTAAAAAGTGAACAGAAGATCTGAATATTAATCTCACCAAAGAAGATTTACAGATGGCAAATAAGGATATGAAAAGATGCTCAACATCATATGTCATTAGGGAATTGCAAATTAAAATATACACCTATTAGAATGGCAAGAAGAATGCAAAATGGTATAGTCACTTTGGAAGACAGTTTGGCAGTTTCTTACGAAGCTGAACTTAATCTTACCATAAGATCCAATAATCACAAATTAGGTATTTACCCAAATGAGTTGAAAACATGTGAACACAAAGACTTGCACACAAATGTTTATAGCAGCTTTATTTATAATTGCCAAAACTTGCAAGCAAATAAGATGTCCTTGAACAGAAGAATGGATAAACAAAACTGTGATACACCCATATAATGAAATATTATTCAATGATAAAAAGAAATGGGCTATCGATCTATGGAAAAACATGGAAAGATCAGTGGTTGCCAGGAGTTTAGGAGGGTGGCATAGGGAGGAGAGATGAATATAAGGGCCACAAGAGAACTTTAGGTCAGTGAAACTCTGTATGTTACTGTAATGGTGAATACATGATGTATTGATTGCATTTGTCAAAATCCATAGTACTGTATGATACAAAGAGTGAAGACCAAGGATATAATCTGGATCAGTAAGAAAAAAAGATATAGGAAGCTTCTAGAAGAATCCATGTGCAGGCTTCCTATGCACTCCTTCTTATGAGGGGTCATACATAACATACCTTTCTTCCAGCAGCAAAAATGTAGTTACACATGGGTGCCCAGAGAAACCCATTAGAGACTCAGTGCCCAAGATTTTTTATTTGGGGCTACTCACTTAGGTGCCCTCTGCCTATCAACCGTCAGTATCCCAGACTCCCAGAAGAAAAACAAGTATTCACCATAAATCACATTGTTTGCACAAGTTTAGGCACAGTGAACTAGCCTTTTCAATTCGTATTGGAGGGAACATTCTGAAATCCAGGTTCCCAGATGCCAGCCAAGTACCAATAGCAAGCAGGCTCTTCTAAAGATAACAGCCTCAGGCCTGCTATGTTAACTTTTTTCTGCACAGTCTATTTAGTAAGATCTGCTAATGCATTTTTTCTAGTCTTTATACCATCTGTTTTTACTGTGGGCTTTTCTACCTTTAAGATAGCAATTTCTTTGAGCAACATCAAAACACTAAGTAATAATTACTATAAAAGTATATCGCCTATCATTTAGTTTTACCAATTTGAAATCTCTAGAAAAGGCCAATGTTCAGTCACTTGAACCAGTCTTGTATCTGTTAAGGACTTAGATCTTTCAAGAGAAACTAAACTAATTATTGCATCTTTAACCTACTATGGTCCCTTTTCACTATTAAGACAAGACCCATCAACAAATAATATTAAGTCAGAGTGTGGTACTGAAATAACCAAAAGATCTGTTTAGGACATGGACACTTACTAAACTACAGAAATACAATTACGGAAATTATAATTACAGAAGTAGAAAACTTCTTCATGGGGTAAAGGTAATAGAGTCACTGGATTGAGAGTGTTATACCAATGGATAGTAATATGGGGAGAGAGTAGCAATATTCCATAATTAGTAACCAACTAGTCAAAAAATATTGGATATTTTCAGTTAGCAATAAAGATTATAATTGCATATAGTACCATCAGATTTAAATATGATCTTAATATGAGATCGAAGATGCTTTGACTAGCAATTTAGAAACTCCAATTGCTCTGAAGCAAGAAGGATATAGTCAAGGTTACTGAATTAAGGGATAAGCTATAATAAGCAATGGGTCTTTTAGTGTACACTATTGATGTACTGTGTTAATGCTCCTGAAGCGTGGCCTAACCTCGTGCACTGATAATCTAGAATTAATCATTCTGACTCTCGTCTTGAAGGATACTCTTCTTCTCAGAACAAAGAATTACACATAAAGAGCAGTTCATAGTTTAAAATTATTAAATATACAAGGAAATGAGACACTATGAGTAAGATACCCATCATGAACAGCATTTAGCAGAATCAGATCAGCGAAGATTTTAGATTTTGGAATTATCAGGCCAAAAATTATTAAATAAGTATGCTTAATATAATTTAATAATGAAAAGAGAGGCTTGAGTACATTTGAGTAAAGAGCAAGCAAATTTGATAAAGAACCAAATAGACTTTTGAGAAATTAAAATAGTAAAAATTTAAAACATTTGAAGATTTTAACAGTAATTTATAAATGGCTGAAGAAACAACTAAGCAACTTAACAAATTACAAGGTATATAGCACAAAAAGACAAAGAAATGAGAAATATGAAAGAGAGGTTAAGAGACACAGAGGATAGATAAGAAAATCTAACATATATCTAATTGGAATTCCAGGAAGAAAAGATAAAGAGAACAGGACAGAGGCAATATTTGAAAAGAACTTTCCAGAACAGATAAATAGTGCCAACCTAAAGAAGCCAAGTGACTTCTAAGCAGAATAAATAAAAAGAAATATCCATACTAGACATATACATTTGAAATATGCAACATATCTAATTTACTGATTAAAAGTTTAGGATTCTAGACAGTAAGCTTTCAGAGATTCACTTTCCACTGATTTAAACTAAAAGACTTAATTAAACCAAAATTGTTTTTCCTTTCTAAAGTTACAAAGTATAAAACTATTTACAATAATCAAAAGATTATTTACCATAAAAATAGTACAAAACAAAAATTACTGGGGAAGCCTGAGGACCTCTTTTTGAAACATACTTTCTAATAAGCATCAACTATGTGCATTTTATGTAAGCATATAATCTAGAAATCCTTTCTAGATTTATGTGCCTAACATTATACTGCTCCTAACATAATTATAATTTCAAACTATCAGGAAAACTACTTACATTTCTATTTTGTGTAGGAAAGACCCAAATTATTATTTGTTTTATTTTTTACATGTTTATATAATTAGTCAAGGTGGTAATAAATTTTAATTTTTTGTTTGTTATAGAATACATGATTTTTAACTACCCATGAAATTATCTTAATGAAACATGAGTGAAAATATTGCTAGTTAACAGCATTTGATTGTAATAACTCACTAATTTTGTGTTCTTCCCAAATTATTCTTTGTCACAATTTCTGTCTTTTCTAGGAGAGCAGATAGATGTCAGTGATGTATATGACGCTCTGAAAGACATGAAAGTTGAGGTCACAGACAAAGAATACTTTAATTTAGTAAAAACTCTACCACTTGATGGTAAGGATTTAAAATATATATGTATACTTCATGGAGCTTTAGAGTGCTTGACTGTAGCATTTTCTTCTTTTTTTTAATTTTTTTAATTAACATTATGTATTATTTGTTTCAGGGGTACAGGTCTGATTCATCAGTCTTACACAATTCACAGCGCTCACCATAGCACATACCCTCCCCAATGTTCATCACCCAGCCACCCCATCCCTCCCACCCCGCTCCACTCCAGCAACCCTCAGTTTGTTTCCTGAGATTAAGAGTCTCTTATGGTTTATCTCCCCCTCTGGTTTCGTCTTGTTTCATTTTTCACTCCCTTCCCCTATGATCTGTAGGATTTTCTTCTAAAATGATACCAGACTGTTACCAGGTTGTTTTGTTTAATCATTTTTGAAAAATTTTTTTTTTAGAATGCAACTTTCTTTTTAATTATTTGATTTTTGCCAAAGAAAATTTGGGTCATTTAGTTTTTAGTATGGTAGGCAATAGCTATTTCACTTAATCCTGCCAATAATGTGTGTGTTTTGTTGTCCTTGGTTCCATTAATATTCCTGAGAGTAAGTGGAAAGATGTAAAAATGGAAGAATAAGAGTGTAAGGAAAGAAATCAGAGATAAAAGTAAATCAAATGAGACATATGTTTTATAAGTTTTAAGCCATAATCCTTGCCTTTCATGCAAGAGTGAATAAATTTGCCTCATTAAAATCTTTCTCCAAACAAACTTTGTTATTATTTGAGGACAAATCAGGTAAATTTCAGAAAAATCATTAAAAAGTCTATCTTTTTGAAATTATGGAATTAGGGGAAGAATTGTAGAATATTTATTGTTTAGGTGAATCTCCCTTATTATTTTTCTCTCACCCGAATTATGCCTTTTCTTACAGCTGAAGGAAAGGTGTATCAAAAAAGGTTGCTGGATGGTGTGAAGACTCTTAAAAGTGAGTGAGAAGTATAATGAGAAAGCAGATAAATCTGAGATATTCTCTTATTTTTCATATACACTAGTTTATTTTTATTACATTAAAAATTTCATATATGTATTTTCCAATATTTATGGATATGTTATATATGCCATAAATCCCTGGAAAATTACCCAGCCCTTTTAGAACTTGCATTATGTTGATAATGAACAAAAGATATAGTCAAACAATGAGACTCTATATCTAGTTTTAAAGTTGACCCTGCTTGTATACTTGACTAGGTCTTACTGGACCTGAATGTCTTCATGAGTAAAGTGAGAACCATAATATACGTGAATTAATAAGGAATTTTCCACATCTTGGTTGTTTTTATGATACTTTGTCTCTCCTAAGGAGGAAAGGTTGATATGAATAGCCTGGACACATTTCTGGAAAATATGGGGATTAAGCTCTCACATAAAGAACTTGAAGATTTTTCGCAAAACCTACCAGTTGATGGTGAGCATTGTACATAAAAATGTATTCCCTTTAGGACAGCTTGGGTTTGAAAGTATCGATAGACCAGTGATAGTGTTTATTTAGTATCAACAGGACATTTTTTTAAAGATTTTATTTATTTATTTGAGAGAGAGCACAAGCTGGGTGGGGAGGGGCAGCAGGAAGGGAAGAAGCGGGCTCCCTGCTTGCAGAGCCCGAGGCAGGGCTGGATCCCAGGACCCTGGAATCATGACCTGAGCCGAAGGCAGCCGCTTAACTGACTGAGCCACCCAGACGCCCCTCAACAGAACATTTTTAAAAGCACGTACTGAATGGAGCACTGGGTGTTATATGCAAACAATGAATCATGGAACACTACATCAAAAACTAATGATATATGGTGATTAACATAACATAATAAAAATTTTAAAAAAGCATGTAGCTGAATGCAGGTCTCAAATGAAAGCACATCCTGACTCTTCATTAACAGAGTGTTCTATGAATAATAAAAATTAGTGAGAGTTCTGACAAACCATTCTTAGGTCAAAGCATGAAGAAGAAAAGGAAAATAGAATGTGAAACATTTAAAAGAAACGTTAAAGAGGTAAGTAAGAGAACAGTCTATGATGAGGAATCGTTAAATTTGCCTGTTCAGGGCGCCTGGGTGGCTCAGTTGGTTGGGCGACTGCCTTCGGCTCAGGTCATGATCCTGGAGTCCCTGGATCGAGTCCCACATCGGGCTTCCTGCTTGGCAGGGAGTCTACTTCTCCCTTTGACCCTCCCCTCTCTCATGTGCTCTCTCTCATTCTCTCTCTCTCAAATAAATAAATAAAATCTTTAAAAAAAAAAAATTTGCCTGTTCAGATATAGTCAGAAAGACTGGAAAGGGATAGAGAGAAACACGCTAAGAATTTTAAAAGAGATATAACTGTGTATATCGAGCATAATAATACTATTACAGTAAAGTATTATGTATAACATGAGATTAAGATGTTAAATATATTAAAAATGAACATTTTTCCAAAGTAAAAGAAATAAATTGCCAATATTGATCAAAGAAGTGAAAAATATAGATAGACTAATAATGATAGTTGAAAAAAACTATCAAATAATTACATCTTTCAACTTTCCACCACCACCCATCACTCTAACAAAAGGTGACAGGCCCAGAGAGTTTTAAGAGTAAGTTCTTTCAAATCTTCAAGGAACTGTTTATTTTAATGCTTACCGATCCAGAGGACTCCAGTTTAAGATGATAAACCAAAATCTGTCTAGTTTTTCTTTCCTCCAATACCTAACAAAATGAACAATAAGAACAAAAAAGTAAAAAAATCAGCAAAGGAAATTCAGCACCAATCAAATAATAAAAGGAGGCCAACCTAATGCCATAAATGTTTAACGAGGACAACCAAGGAGAGAAAAGATTTTTTGAGTAGAAACAGTACAGCACAACTAGACTCCTCTTAGCCTTTCTCCTCCCTCAGAAATTAAACTGGTGAAATCCTGAGATTTCTCACTAAAATGCCCAGATCTGGAGTGAAGCAAATTGGATAGATAACTTCCCCCCCCCCACCATTCCACTTACTAGGAAGGAATAGCTGGGGAAAAATCAATAAAACAGGAGAAATGAACAATAGGAATCACTCATTAATGAAAGTAAAAGCTTCAGAGCCAGAAATGGAGGTTTGACGTGAAGCCCGAGAACACCATCCCATGCACAGATCCGTGGTTTGTTTAAATGTCTTTACCAGGGTTCATTCTACCTAATTAGAGCAATGAACCCTGTTGGGACATTTGACCAAACCTCAGATATGAGAGCAGGGCTCAAGTATAACAAAGGCCATGTAACACCTCATCACACCCTCAGATTACAATAGAAGTAGGTAGAACAGTTTTCCTCAAATGCATCTCACCGAAGAAAGCAAACTGGTCTCAGATGCTATAGAAAGAGCAACTAAAGGTTACATTAAATCTTGAGAATAAAATGAAGATCTGAACAGAGCTGTTGAAGCATATGCAAAATGAAAAGAAAGGACACGGGGAAAATTCTACATTAACACAGCAAAGAAAAATAGTAAAAGGAAAATAAGAAAGAAAGAAGATAGAATGGAAGGAAGAGAACATGCGAAAAACAAATACCCCAGTCTAATAGTAGTATAATCAGTATAACCTAAGGAACAGCCAAAAAGAAATGCTTGACAATTAATTCTTATTACAGAGCAACTTTAATGGATTCAATAAAACTAGATCTCAAAAATGAGATGGTAACATAACATGATGATATTAAAAGGGAAATTGCCTAACTAAAAAAAAACAAAGTGAGTACCAATCATTATAGAATTATTAAATAAATTATAAACATCAAAGTGAAAAATAGATATGGCTGAAAATCTTATTGACAGAGTAAGAGAACTTAAGATACCCACAGTAAACACAGGGGCACCTGAGTGGCTCAGTCAGTTAAGCATCTGCCTTTGGCTGGAGTCATAATCTCAGGGTCCTGGATCAAGCCCTGCATTGGGCTCCCTGCTCAGAGGGGAGTCTGCTTCTCCCTCACCCTCTTCCTCTGCCCCTCCCCCCCGCTCATGCTCTCTCTCTCTCAAATACATAAAATCTTTTTAAAAAAAGATACAGTAAATGCAGAGAAAAGATTAATGCTATCTGGAATTTAAATCAAAACTTAAAAAAAGATTAATGCTATCAAATATCTAGTAGATATGGATGATTCACAAAGTAACATAAAAATATCAAATATCTTTAGAGAATATAGCAAGTAAAAAATTTTAAATCAAATCTAGTTTAAGGAAAAAAAGAAAAGTTTTCTAAAATGAAGGAGTGAATGCAGATCAAAAACACCACACCAGTTCCAGAAAATGTTGATCCAGAATATTCTGCAGTGAAATACTTCCTAGTTTACTTATTGAGGAAAAATGGGAATTCTTCAGATATAGAAATGTTAGAAAGCGCATAATAGATGGGGAGGAGAAGCAATAGGTCTCCAAAGCAACATTCAGTTCCAGAAAAAAATGGAGGAATGTCTACAAAATTGAAAAAGAAAGTGTGGCAAAGAAAATTATACACAGCTAAGATGTCATTCAAATATAAAGACAAGGGGCACCTGGGTGGCTCAGTCAGTTAAGCGTCTGACTCTTGGTTTGGCTCAGGTCATTATCTCAGGGTCGTGGGACCGAGCCCTACGAGGGGCTCTCTGCTCAGTGGGGAACCTGTTTCTCCCTCTCCCTCTGCCTGCCCCTCCCCCTGGTTGTGATCTCTCTCTTCCTCCCTCTCTCTCTCTCTCTGTTAAATAGATAAATAAAAAATAAAAAAACTTATTCTTATATCTAAGTAAATATGAAAAATTAGTAGTCTAGAACTAAAATTTAAGATGAGGGGCACCTGGGTGGCTCAGTCAGTTGAGCTGCTACCTTCGGCTCAGGTCATGATCCCCGGGTCCTGGGATCGAGCCCCGCATCGGGCTCCCTGCTCTGTGGGAAGCTTCTCCCTCTCCCTCTCCGCCAGCTTGTATTCCCTCTCTCGCTGTGTCTCTCTCTGTCAAATAAATAAAATCTTTAAAAATAAAATAGAATTCAATATGATATCAACATTCTAGTTGAGGGACAGGTGTCATAGGTAGAGAAAGCAGAAGGAACAGTCTCATTTTTGGTCTGTGACTGCTCTTTGTCTTACAGTTGATGGGAAGGTTGATCTGGAAAATGTGACACTGAAAATGAAAGATTTTACAGGTGAGTTTCTATAACACTGAAACCCCAATGCTTTATAGTAAATTATATTTGAATGTTATCCCAGCAGTCTATTGTTCATATTAATTTTGCCATCTTACCCAATTATTGTAAAATATTTCTGCCTGATAAAATCCATTTGATCTTGGATTAAGATCAAATGGAAATAAACTACATCTTGGAAATAAACTACTGGACTTGTTTTTGATAACAAGTCCTATATACTGTAGAGATGTTTTTCTCATATATGTATATATGTCTTTTCCTACATGCAAACAGCTAAATTTTAGGTAAGCATATGAATAAATAAGGTAAAGTTTTGTAAAGCTCAAGATAATGTGGATTTTGTGAACAATCAATTACATAAGTCATATAAGATCTCCTGCCATAATTCTTTCTTTTGGTGATTCGTTATCCAGTTTGGTAACTAGATTTTATTCTGCACATTATCCACCAAATTAAGAGAGACTTTCTTATATCAATAATTTAGGAACAAGTTTGCTTTGACGTCTAATGACACACTATTTCTACATCCCATTTTACCTTTGCTCTTTAATCCTAAATTGGGAATGATGCTGTATAAGCTATTTTAAGTATATTTTAAAATACGTATCATATAGGTCAATAACATATTCTTATGAACTTTTTGAACCTCCATAATATTGCGTTATTAATTTCTAAAATTTTCACCTATAAACACTCTGTATTTTCAAAGGAGAAAAGATTGATGCCACTAATCTGAAAAATATTCTTGGAGACATGGGGATAGAAGTCAATGATAAGGAATGTCTTGATCTACAAAAATCACTACCAATTGATGGTGAGCTGCATCTGCAACCTCCAGAGAGTTCAGTTTTCTGGTTCTACTTGTGATATTTATATTTTAAAGTGACACATGTTCAAGTGTTACCTGCACCCATCCTTCAGCTCTTGATTTCGTATGAACAGTCTATTACTCTATGCCAATTCAAGTACAGAATTCAACTGTCAAAAGAATCCTTTTCCACAAAATCAGTGTTGAGGAAAGATGTTACTGATGATTTTGAAAGGGGGAGGAGAGAGGGATGTACATCTTGTCTCTCTCAGTAACATTGCAGAAGTCCTTGTAAATTCCTGTTCTCTCCCAGAGTCACTTTTCCTTACATCGCCCCTGGAGATTCCTTTTTCCTAATCCTTATCCCTTCCAGAGCTAAACCCTGAAAACTCCTCCCTCTGTTAAGCTTAATTTCTTTTTTTTTTATTAAGTTTTTATTTTAATTCCAGTGCAGCTAACATACAGTGTTATATTAGTTTCAGGTATACAATATAGTCATTCAACAATTCCATACATCACCCAGTGTACTTTTTTTTTTTTAAGATTTTATTTATTTGAGAGAGAGAGAGAGCATAAGCAGGGAGAGGAGCAGAGGGAAAAGGACAAGCAAACTCCCTGCTGAGTAGGGAGCCCAACACAGGGCTCAATCCCAGGACTCCAAGATCATGACCTGAGCCTAAGTCAGATGCTTAACTGACTGAACCACCCAGGCACCCACAAGTGTACTTCTTAATCCCCATCACCTATTTCACCCATACCCCACCTACAGCAGTTTGTTCTCTATAGTTAAGAGTCTGTTTCGGGGCACCTGGGTGGCTCAGTTAGTTAAGCGACTGCGTTCGGCTCAGGTCATGATCCTGGAGTCCCAGGATCGAGTCTGGTGTCAGGCTCCCTGCTCAGCAGGGGGTCTGCTTCTTCCTCTGACCCTCCCCCCTCTCATGCTCTCTCTCTCTCTCTCTCTCATTCTCTCTCAAATAAATAAATAAATACATACATACATAAAATCTTTATTAAAAAAAGAGTCTTGTTTCTTGGTTTGTCTCTCTCTTTTTTTTTCCCTTTGCTTGTTTGTTTTGGTTCTTAAATTCCACACGAGTGAGATCATATGGTATTTGTCTTTCTCTGACTGACTTATTTCACTTAGTATAATACTTCTAGCTCCATCCATGTCATTGCAAATGGCAACATTTCATTCTTTTTTTATGGCTGAATAATATTCTGTTATATATATATAATATGGTATCTATATGTATAATATGGTATACATACATACCACATCTTTATCCATTTATCTATCAATACAAACTTGGGCTGCTTCCATAATTTGGCTATTATAAATAATGCTGCTATAAACATAGTGGTGCATTATCCCTTTGAATTAGTGTTTTTGTATTTGGTGGTGGGGGGAGGTAGATACCCAGTAGTGTGATCAGTGGATCGATTACTGGATCTAGAAAAAATTACAGCTAACGTTTGTTGAGCCCTAATGATGTGCCAAGTTCTGTTCTCAGCACACATAATGAGGACATCTTATGCCCATTTTACAGTGGGGGAAACTGTGGTACAGAAAGGCCACAGTTTGTTGCTTAAGGCCACAAAGCTAGGCAGCAGCAGAACAAGAATTTGAACCCAGGCTCTTTACCTCTACACCATATATCACACTATACCATAGTGAGAACTTTTTCATTGCTTAACTTCATCATGATTTGAAGGTGAAAGTGGATAGATTTCTAAAGTTAGTTATGCAAAGGAAACTCTGACCCTTATATTCTGTTTGTGACTCATTCTCTGTCCTGAACTGTGCCTTTCTTTCCAGATGATCAGAAAGTTTTTCGGAATAGATTGCTATCAACTTTGAAGTCTTTCAAAGGTGGGTAAGAAATATAATGAGAAAGTATATAAAATTGAGATTTTTAATCTCTGTATTTGTATTTTTTTTCCTAGTTATTAGGTCATGATTCCTCTGCCATTCCTTCTATATATTAATCTTAAAGTCTTTTTTTTTTTTTTTTTGGTGCTGTACAGGCTTGATCCCCAGGGTCAGACTCAAAGGAATCAGTCCTAAGAATCTCCACAATTGTTTTTCTATGTACTTCTGGATAGGTCTAATTAGACTATTAGCCTTCACAGTGCTGAAAATAAGCATCATAATGCTCAGCTGTGAATTGTTAGTTTTCTTTTCTTTTTTTTTTTAGAGAGAGAGCCAGGGGGAGGGGCAGAAGGAGAGAGAGAGACAGAGAGAATCTTAAGCAGGCTCCATGCCCAGGATGGAGCCCAATGAGGGGCTCAGTCTCATCACCCTGGGATCATGACCTGAGCAGAAATCAAGAGTCAGACGCTTAACCGACTGAGCCATCCAGGTGCCCCTCTTCTATTTTTTCAATATAAAAGTTGCCATATGCCTACTAAATATAAATTAAAGGAAAAATAATCATCCATAGTCCTACTATCCAATCATTACCATTCTTAATATTTTGAAGCTTAAACTAGCGATAATCTCATCAAGTCAAAAGTGCTCTGAAATTCCATTGGAAGACTCTATAAAAGACACCAGCATACTAGTCTTGATAAATCAAACATAGTCACTTTTTCTTGCAGTGGTGGAATACATTGTTATCCCTATAGTTAAGCAATTAGATAAAGTAGTTGGCTTACCTAACAGCCATAATATTAAAACTGCCTCCAAAACTAGAATCACACTGACTTAAGACAGTTACAGTATGATAGGTTTAGGGGAAATGAATCCATGTGATGGAATAATAAATTGATGTTGTCCATCTGAGATTCACTCTATTTATGTGCTTGCTGACTGCAGAATGTCAGAGAGAATCACATTCATTATTTACATTGTTCATTTTATGTATATTTTTACTGGGCATATAATTTTAAAGTTTTTTTTTTTAAGCTTTTATTTATTTATTTGACAGAGAGAGAGAACAAGCAGGGGCAGCAGCCAGCAGCAGAGGGAGAGGGAGAAGCAGGCTCCCCGCTGAGCAGGGAGCCCGATGCGGGGCTCGATCCCAGGACCATGGGATACAATTTTAATTCATATATGTTAAATGACTGCATGATACAACTTCACCCTATAAAATAACATTTTTTTCCTTTGGCAATCAACAGCTGTGGCTATGTAGTTTTCTGTGGAATGAAGATATAATGGTTCACTTACCAATACCCTATCATTAGAAATTTAAGTTGTGGGTTCTTTTTTCTTTTCTTTCTTTCTTTCTTTCTTTCTTTCTTTCTTTCTTTTTTTCTTTCTTTCTTTCTTTCTTTCTTTCTTTCTTTCTTTCTTTCTTTTTCTTTCTTTCTTTCTTTCTTTTTCTTCCTTCTTTCCTTCCTTCCTTCCTTCTTTCCTTATTACAAGGAAGATTATAATGAAAATTTCCCTCTCCCCTTTGGCATAGCTTTTTCTGCATTCCCAAAAGTGGAATTAGTGGGCTAAGAGTTATGAACATTTTAAAGAATCATGATAGTTGTTGCCAAACCACTTTCCAATAAGGTAATTCCAGTTAACACTCTAACCAGCATCCAGGCCTATTGAGAATTGAATTAACTCATCAGCACAAGAAATTTTTTTCATATTGTGTCTTTTTTGTTTTTTTCCTCATCCCTTTCTAAGGAGGAAAGATTGATGTCAATAACCTGAACACAGTTCTGGGGAACATGGGGATCAAGCTCAAAAATAAGGAACTTAAAAGTGTGATACAAAATCAACCTATGGGTGGTGAGCATTGTAAACAACTGTTTTGCCTTTTGGGGGAGAGCTTAGAATCTTGGGATCATATGTAAGAATTTCTAAAACTAGATGGATTTAAGGAGTTTAAGATATTTTTAAGAATCATGGAGAAGAACTTGGTCTTAAAGTAAAAAGAAATCCTGTCTTTTTTCACCTCAATTCATCTGAAATTATCACCCTAGTCAACAATGATTACTGCTGAGAGGATATTCACAGCTGATATCATGCCAGAGAATGGTAGAGAGAAACAAACATGGGAGCAGTGGGGGAAATGAATGAATGCCTAACCAAGAGAGCCTGAAATAATTGAGAGAAAAATATCCATAATAGGAACTAGTAGAACATCATTAATATTTCCTCAAATATCCAATAAGCCCATGTCACCACCATTTTGAGATAGAAACAGGAGTTGAAACACTTGAGAAGAGCTTATTGCGAATAGATGGAAGAT